GTAGAAGTCATCTTCAGCTAAGATAGTTTTATTTTTCTAACAGGGTGGTTAGCCTTTGGAATGGGTTGCCTTCGGATGTTGTTGAGGCAGTTAATTTAAGCTAAGCTTAAGAAAAGGCTTGATAACTAAATGAATGATAAAGGCTGGATTTAAGATTTAAAAAAAAAATATCTATTAATGGTTTTAGTTTAGTTTAGAGGATGGAACAACTGAGATGGATCAATAGGTCCCATGTTGTCCCAAAATGTTATGTTGTATAGTATGTGTAATTTCATAATCATTTGGTAGTTGTTACATGATGGCCAAGCCTACATGCAGAGTTAATCAATTTGTTAAAAATACTGGATTATTAGTTTTAGCTTTGATATTATAGATATAAACTTTAATAAATTGCACTAAATTCTTGCATATTTGTATTATAAAAACAACTAAGACTGAGGAAAAATTTAATCTTCAAAAAGTATTCACTCATTAAACAGCTGAAACGTTACCAAGCACGTGTCTGTGCTTGATGTATGTATTTTTTCCTGTATCATATGCTCAATAGGGATTATGTTTATAATTATTTACATTTATATATATTAATTAAACTGTTTTACAGTTCTTGAAACTAAATTTCTTCATGATAGATGATTTTCGTTGTTTCTTCTTACTTTTTGACTTGAAACATGCTTCTTTTAAATCAGATGAATAAACAGAAATATTACAAGTTAATATACTCATCTTCCTAATAGTGGAAGATAAATTCAGAAATTAGACATTGTGAGAGGTGAAAGATAAACTATACTTATTGAATAGTTAAGACTGATTGATGTTGTAGTTTCTTTTTTGTGATTATAGTGTATGGATTGTTTTTCTAGGTAATGTTCGAAAAATATCAGTTTGCTGGAACCTACGTTGCAATCCAGGCTGTTCTTACACTCTATGCTCAGGGTAAGAAACATATATAATGCACTGGGCTTTCATCTATAGTTTTGGGATCAAAATATAATTCACATACTTTCTGAAAAAAAAAACTTTATTATTGATAGGAAATACACTAATTAAATTGTAGCAACTCGACTGTTGTAATTTCCACAGTTCAACAGAACAACTTACTAATGTTCCCCCTTTTTCTATGGTTAATGACACAAGCTGTTTTTATGTCAAAACAAATCCAATTGTGGCTATCCCTACACTGCTATAAAACCTGTTTTCATGGCAATAATCTTATGCAATCTTCTTATGAACTAAGTTTTATCATTATTTAATTATTTAAGTCTCAAAAATTTGTATTCAATGACTTTCAATAATTTCTTCTGGAAATTACTTTTTCTTGCTTTGTAATTTATCCAGATACAATTCTGATCATTCAGAATTATTCTGACTAGTCATTCAAACACAGGATGAAACCAAGTACAGTACTAATCTTTTATAAATATCAAGAACAGTTATTCAAAAACAGATAAAGCCAAGTTTGATTCTGATCATTCAGAAATATCCTGACTAGTCATTCAAACACAGGATGAAATGTATTTTATCATTCTGAAAAACTTGTTATATGTAGATGTAAAGAATTGTTAATATATATTCATATTACATTATAAAATAAAATATTAACTCTTCCAGTACAAAATAAGTTTAAAATTGGAATGAAATCATCAGTGGACCATGTGTACTTGGAATTTTGTGATGTATGATGTTTCGTTCTGCTAACGCCTAAATATTATCTACCTCAAGACATCGGGCAGGTGTAGTCCATTAAAGATTCAATAATAATATTACATATTGTTCCAAATTCACTCTTAAAACTTGGCAGTTTCTAAATGAATAATGATGTGCTGCGACATAACAGTAGGATTTTAATTTGTAGTATATTTTGTGTATTGTGTAATTGGTAAGCTACTGGTAATTTAGTTAAACTACTATTATGACTTCACTGAACTTTTTTCTTAAACAGTAATAAAGAAGATGAAATGCTTAGTTTGGTAGCTGGTTTTAATTTGAGTTGTTCTCGGTAAGTCAGTTAATGTGGAGGTGTAAATTGCTTTTCATAAAATGAAATGTTTTAAATTTTATACAAATAATTATTACCTAATGAAGCCTAAATAGTAGCTTTAGAAAGCTTGTTCCAAGTTGTAACAAGACTACATTTTGTTGATTCTGGTACAAAAAATAACTTTTAGTTTATTATAATTAATTTTTTTGGTTTCGTTTAAATTTTTATCTTGAATACTGTAATGATAGACGAATATTTACTATTAACACATTTTTCTAAATGAAAGAATATGTTTTGTACAGGGCTACTGACAGGAGTTGTGGTTGACTCTGGTGATGGAGTTACTCACATCTGTCCAGTGTATGAAGGGTTTGCTCTGCCTCATTTAACAAGGCGTCTAGACATTGCTGGCCGAGACATCACCCGCTACTTAATTAAGGTGAGCTAAAACAGTGAAACTTTGAGAATGGATGTGAAGTTTTTATGTTATTTTTTCTTAAGTTATTTTCTAGTGTACTTAGTGCTAAAAGTCAATAATTTCTTGTTTTCTCAAAATTAGGTTTCTTCTAGTTAAAAACATAGCAGTAACACTTTAGAAAATTCTTAAAAGAATATGCAAGCTAACTTTTTATTTTTTTTCCTATAACTACAGATAGTTAGACAGTTTATTCTTTGAAACATATTGCTGACATTTTGTTTTTTATGCTAGTTCTATTGAGGGGATATCTAATTATCCACGTATTTGACATTTGTTGTTTTTTAAGCTTTATTTGTCCGGAGTATACTTTTAGCCACAGGTGATTTTATTTTTCCTGACAACTATTGTTGAGGATATCTATATCTTCACAGCTGCTTTTATTGTTTTTCAACAGTTAATTTTGCTGAGGGTATGCTATTAATCACACAGTTGACTTTGTTTTTTTATTCAGCTGCTTTTGTTGAGAGGATATGCTTTCAATCACACAGCTGATTTCGAAACTGTGAGAATGATCAAAGAGAAGCTCTGCTATATAGGTTACAACATTGAACAGGAACAGAAGCTGGCCTTAGAAACAACTTTTCTTGTGGAATCTTACACAGTAAGAAAAAAGTACCTCTTAAAATCATTATTTATATCAATAAGTATGATAGTGGAATTCCTTGTTTTTACATTCTAAAATCACTCCATACAAAGGAGGGTGGTGTGAGTGATATCCTCTAGAAAATACTTAACCAAGTTGCATGAAATATTGTGCAAAAAAATCATCTCTAAAGAGTGTGTAATCTAATTTAGTAGTTCTGTCACTTTTTGGTTGGAAAATTTCACAATTTTGAAGCAGTTTTAAGAAAACCATTTTAAAATATTACCTTTTGTATCAGAATTCCAGTGTTTTATTGATATGAAAATACCATTTATATTTCCATTAAGTTTCAACTTGTTTGATAATCAATGATATTTCTTTTGATAATTTATTTTGCTGATTAAGGCAGTCAACATTTCTGAGCACAAAAAAAGGCAAAAAACTGACAGATTTATTGGTGACTTTTGACTTGACCTTTCAAAATGGTTCTTTGTTGTGTGTGTCAGACTAGATATTATGAATTTTATTTACAAAGATTAATTTATATCTAATAAATATAGTTTGTTTTCAATAAGTGATAATTTATTTGTATGTGTTATCTTAATACAATAAACTTAACAATAAGGTTCAATAAAAATGATTTTGATTTTAGCATTTCTTACTGTACTCACTTAAACCCAAGGAAACTTACCTGAAATATTGTCATAAAAGAAAATTCCTGTAACTTTAATGCAGAAACATTTTTAGTAATAAAAATAACATTTTAAGGAATCATGAAAAAATTTTGAGGTTTGTGGTTTGTTCCCAAGTCTTGTAAACTTTGTATCATAATCCTATATACATCCTTACTGAAGTTCTACTGTTGCCATTATGCTAAAAGCCACAAATTACTACTAAAACCACTATTTACTCTATATTAAAGTGGATAGATTAGAATTTCTTCTGTCCATGACTCTGTGGTATGTCAGAGAGTTGATAAAACTAAAAATTGGGTTTCAATATTCATGGCTAACACAGCAGAGATAGCCCATTCTGTAGCTCTGTGCTTAACAACAAGCACACAAACTTTCATCTGTTCATTTTGTCCATTGACTCTACTTAATTACAAAGCTGAGTTCCATCATTAATTTTTCAGGCTACGTGCTGAGCCATCATAAAATAAATGGCAACTTAAAGGTTGTCTAAATCAAAATACTAGAAAACCTCATTTCAACTTGTTCAAAAAATCAAAACTTGTACATTAGTGAGTGTTCTTTGTTTTTTTATATAGGTAATTTTTTGGGATTTTCATTTTAGATTTTACTGTTTTCTTATTTAAAATACTACCAATTACCTAGCATTTAATGATAAAACCTGTATAGTGTGGTCATTCTTTTAGGTTAATAAAGTGTAATACTACAAACTGTTTCTTTTTTATCATCACTAGATTTTGTGGGATCAAAACCTAGCAATGAGCATTCTTGTAATTTCAGGTTTAGGGCATTATAATGTAATGATCAATCCCACTAATTGTTAGTCAAAAGAGTAGCCCAATAGTTGGCAATGGGTGCTGTTCATCTTCCCTGCAGTCAGCAGCTCAAATTAGAGATGTCTGTAGTAGCTTTGCCAAAAAAAACGAAAAACATCACTAAATGTTTTGTATTGGACTAACATTTGTTAATTTTTAAATCTTGTATGATTTTCCCCATTCTTTAGTTTTAGTGGTGAATTACATATATATTTTTTTTTGGTTTCAAAATCTATTGAAATATTTATTCACATTTTTCTGATTTTTGCCATTATCCCCATATTTAGCTAAATTAGATCAGTCAGTCATTTGTAATCTCAAGTGGGGAGTACTATGCTAGTAATTGTCAAATTTGATATATATTTTTCTCATGTATAGTTCTAAAGTAAAGTTTTCCCTGAATTTGCAAGTTATAGCCAAGCTGTTTACATCAAGGTTTATTTTGCTGTTTCCCTCAACTGCACCAAAGCTATAACATTCTTGTTTTCTAGTGGTAAATCTCCAGCTGATTTAATGTGTGATATGAAACACCATGTTCTTATCAGCTAATTTTATGCTATGGCTTTTCTAGCTGCCAGATGGTAGAGTTATCAAGATGGGAGGTGAAAGATTTGAAGCCCCCGAAGCTCTCTTTCAACCCCATTTAGTCAATATAGAAGGGCAAGGAATTGCGGAACTCGTGTTTAATACCATCCAGGCTGCTGACATCGACATCCGACCTGATCTGTACAAGCACATTGTTCTATCAGGGGGTTCCACTATGTATCCAGGACTACCTAGTCGCCTGGAACGTGAAATCAAACAGTTGTATCTGGAACGAGTTTTGAAAGGAGACACAGAAAAATTATCTGTTTGTATCAAAAACATTCTCTTTATTATTCTTAAATGATAAATGAAAGCTTGTAACACATTTACCATACTAGTAACTTTCTTTGTCAGGACAATTTACAAAAAGTTATCTTTCTTGTGAGTTAGATTAAGTAAAATGAAGGACATGGAGTTCTTTACTATAAAGTTTTGAAAGAAATTGTAAAATAGTAACATGATCCAAAAAAATGCCATTACAAATGTTCTCTTTTATGAAGTTTCATAAATTAATTAGTCATTAAGTTAATTAGAAATTTGTCTCTTCAGTAACAGTTATGAGAGACTAAACATGAATATTCAGTGGATTAGATATTCACCCATGAGTGAAGTAAAATCAGGTAATGAAATTCAGCAGGGTCAAAAAGTGGTTGGGTACATGAATTATAAAATGCAGTAGCCCTCTATACATTTTTGAAATGTTTATCCATAAATTGATGTCCTTTTCAGCCCAGTATCTCTTTTTTTTTTATGAGAGCAAATAACATCAAGTTTTAACCAATTCGGTCTGTTCTCTCTCTACATTATCTACAAAGTAGAACTGTAACTGAAATCTTCAGTTTTTAAATTGATTTTGATCTGTTTTTTATATCTTGCTTCCGACAAAGTAGTAAAAAAAATATTTTTTGCCCTGAATTTATTTTATAATATATTGATACTATTTAAACTTCCCACTTGGGTGGATAAGTTTAGTCTATATAT